GTATATTCCATTATCATTTTTAATAGTGTTTCGAACCTTATGTGATTCCCTGTGATTCTGTTCGATTCTAATTTTTGGAACCATAGTATCAAGAGACCTCAGCAATAATTCAAACAATAGAAATCAAGAAAATAATTAAAAGTATGTTAAACAACTCTGTCTTGAAAAGTCTAGCATTAGCTACCTGCTTCTTAAACACCTAGAAGAAAAAGCATTAAAAAGAATCATTAAAATTTTCAATGCAATATTAGTAATCAGAAAAATCCCCAGAAAATAGCAGAAAAATATAATCTATTCAGTTTCCAAGAAAACAGACTGACAAAACAATCTCAATTTAGTAAGACCAATAATGCTCCTAGAAACAATCAAGAAGATATTCACAAAAATACTCAACAATAGACTAGTGAAGATCATGATAAAATATCCAATTATATTCAATAAGAACTGGGCAGGACTTCCAGGAGGGGATATACAAGAACCAATCAATATCATCAATAACGTCATGGAAGAGGCAAGAGAAAACAAAAATCAATATTGGATTTTAAATCAGGACATTAGCAAGGCATATGACTCAATAAGCATAAAATGTTAAAAAAATCCTTAAAGAGAATCAAGATTCCAGCAAATACTATCAATATAATAATGAACCTGCTTGAAAATCATAACAACTACATTATAACATGCCATGGCTTCACAACTCCATTCCAATATGAATTAGAAATAGACCAAGAGAACACAATATCTCCACTACTATAGAAAATATACTATGATTCACTTATAAACAAAATCAAAAAATCTAGATATAGGTACCAATTAATAATACAAAAACCAATAAGAAGATATAGCAAATGGCAAATTACAACAATGAAAGTTGCATCGATATCATATATGGATAACACAATATGGCTGACAAAAAACAAGCAAGGCATGTAAAGAATTACCAAAACCACAGAAAGCTTTACAAGAATAGTCAATCTCAAAATCAATTCAGAAAAGGTGATACTTATTACAATTAACTTTAGAAAACAAGAACACATCAAAATACAAGGTTACAAAATCATACCAAAACTAAAAACCAAAGCTATTAGAATTCTGGCATATAGATAATAGCAACAGGAAGCAAAAAGCACCAGCTAGAACTAATTAAACAAAAAATCCAAGCAACAACAAATATACTAATAAGATGTACTATTATGGATAAACAACAAAGATATATTATTAATTACATAACTATCCCAGCAATAACATATCTTATGCAATACATAGTAGTAACAAGCACATATATAACAAGTGAGAGGCCATGATCAGAGCAGTCTTCAAATACAAGAACAACATGCCAAGCACAGTAATTAACAACAGAATATACTGTTACTTCAGATACAAAATATTCAGCACAGAGGACAAGTAGGCACAACAGCACATTAAAACAATACTTGTCCACTTAAACAAACACAATACATGTGGCAAAATTGTACAAGAGAGACTATAACACCTACAAAACACAACATGGACACCAAAAAACATCCTAGCAGACAAAATACCAATCCAAAGAGATCAAAACAACTTGCTAAGCCAAATTATTAGCACAATCAATGAAGACAGATACAACATTAAATCTAATATAGCATGCAAAAACTAAAACATTTCCAGATATACAGTTGCACACAATCGAAAGTTTAATGAGACAAGCATGGTTCAAGAAGAACAAATATAATCTAAAAAAACACAACATAATGCTTATTGAACAAATGACAAATGCATATCAAACATATTTGCTAAAATGGAGACAAATTAGAGCCATAGCAGAAAAAAAAGCAACAGGCCAGTAACCAAAATAGTTCAAAGATATCAAAGAGCAACACTGTTATTTTGACTAGTTGACCAACAAATACAAATGCAATATTGCAGGATTGATACAACCCAATTCAATCTAACAACTGAAAACATCAGAAAACACCAACATCAAAAATTCTAAATACCTAACAACAACAATAAATCAACAAATATATATAGGAAAGAAAGACAGACAGAAGAAGAAACAAGATAACACAGTTCAAGTACAATACATGATATAAATAGCAGAAGACTTATCATTACAAAAATGTATAGGATGCAGACATAATAAACAAGAAGTCAACATATGTATCAGAATGATCAACAAGGAAAACACAGTAATAGTTTCTGTAATTAAAACTGGAAAAAGCTCAAAGATACACAACCAAATTATGGGCACACTAGAAAGAATATAGGTATTTCTACCCATCATTCGAAACAATATCCAAAAAAATCATATAAAACAAAAATGAAAACAAAGAAAGCCAAAGTACAGAACAAGAACAGAAGCCTTGAAAAAGCCAAGAAAAGATAATATAAAAACATACAAAGAAATAAAGGTTGGTTTACAAACCAAAGATAAGTTAAAAATGAGAAAAGAGAAAATGAGAACATGGAAACTAATCGAAGCCTATATAAATAGATTTATAAAAAAAATAGGCATATATAAATACAAAATGTGAATAGGATAGATAGTGATCAATAAAGAAACCAATGAAGAAATAGAATTCTTAGCAAAAATATAAGACTTCCTATTATTCACCAGGATAAAACTCTTAATGATTCTTAGCCTGCTCAAATGTGCACCAACCAATACAGAAATCAACATATATACAAATAGCAAGGCAGCAATACAAAATATAACAGGAGGGAAAAAAAAAGAAAACAAAACTATAACAGATATACCCAATTAGACACATAAAAAAACTATTAAGGACAGAGCAGAATTAACAATATTAACCAAGGTAAAGCACCCACAGGCATTAGAGAAAATGAAAAGGCAAACAAACTGGTCAAAGAAAGAGCACATAAAAATAGAGAACAAGAAATTAAAATGAGTCAACCAACAGAAGGCACATACTTTAGTATTACCTGGAAAGATACAATTTTAGATATAGACATTAACAGCTTTATCAAGAGACAACAAAGTATATAATGGCTGATAAAATAGTTAATCCAAAACTGACACATGGCATGAATAGATGATAGGGAAAAAAAATAAATTGGAAAACAATGCATAAGGCATAGCAATTGACACCAATCACAAGTAACAAAACAGACAAACAAGACCACATAAGCAGAAACTTTCAATATAGAATACTTAATGAAAAACTTTCAATTCTTAACAAACTAGCAGAATACAGACCTAAACTTTATAAAACAGCAACATATCCAATTTGCAAGGCAAATACAAAGACACATCAGTACATAATACATGAACACTTTAAAGAGAATATTATAGATGAATACAACAAAATTGTTAAACAAAAAAGCCGTGCCAGGGCAAGAAAAAAAAACAAAAAGAAGAACAATACCTGAGACACAGAGCCATTGACTCAGAATATACAAGAACACTAATAATAAAGGCAGTGTTCACAAAAGAAATAATCAAATATATAAAGAACAAAGTAGGAGAGAAAGTTACAGAGACATGTAGAGCAATCACAGCTTGCATAAATGCAAAGCTGAAAGAATAGTGAAAAGATAGATGCAGTAAAATAGCAGAATAGAAAAAAGAAAACAGCATTACAACTCAAAAGAAGAGAAGGAAAAGAAACAAAGGAAAGGAAAACACAAAGAAAAAAACAGAAACCAGAGGCTGAAATTCAAAAGAGAAAAAAAGAAAAGCAATAGAATAGGGAAAAAGATGACAAAATAGTTCACAACGTACAAATTGAATGCAGAATACAATAACTATAAATATATACTATTTACTAACACTAATAGAGCCTTAGTACATTAGTTTTTGATCCCTTTTCTTTCATCTAGACTTGAAAATAAATCAAATAACTCAAAGCTAATATTTGGAAAACTTTTGATATAGTTTGATATATAAATAGAAGTGAAGTTATAACATTTATGTAAACAAATTTGTAAACAATTAATGTAAATATCACAAACTAATAAAGTATACTAGGCAAGGCCCAGCTAGTATTTTAAAAAAAAGCAAAAACATCAGCTAAAGCTAATTAAACAAAAAATCCAAGCAATAACAAATATATTATGTACCATTACTAATAAACAATAAAAATATATAATTAACTATTTTAGAAATAATATATCTTATGTAAAATATAGTAACAACAAAATATACATATAACAAATGAAATGATATAATCTGAGTAATCTTAAAATACAAATATAACATGCCAAGCATAGCAATCAATAGTGGAATATATTGCTACTTCAAATATCAAATTTTCAGTACTGAAAATAAGCAAATACAACAGTATATCAAAACAATACTTGTTAACCTAAACAAGTACAATATATGTGATACTATAGTAAGAGAAAGATTATAACAATTACAAAATACAATGTGAGCATTAAAGAACATCTTAAAAGACAATATTTTAATACAAAAAACCAGAATAACTTACTAAGCCAAATTATCAATAAAATTAAAAAAGATGAATATAATATCAAATCTTATATAATACAAGAAAAGCTAAAAAAATTTTCAGATAATTAACTATACATAATCAAAAATATACTGAAACAAGAATAGTTCTGAAAAAACAGATAAATTATAAGAAAACTAAATATAATATTTATAAAATAAATAACAAATGCATATCAAATATATCTATTAGAATAAAAACAAATTAAAGCTATGCCAAAGAAAAAATCAATGAGTCATCAACTAAAATGATTCACAAATATCAAAAAACAATACTGCTATTTAGATTAATCAATTAACAAATAAAGATATAACATTGATAGACTAACATAATACAATTCAATTTAATAATTGAAAAACCTTAACAAACACCAACATCAAAATACAAAATATTTAGCAATAACAATAAATCAACAAATATATATTGAAAAAAAAGATAGACAAAAAAAAATAAGTAAATACAATTCAAGTACAATATATAATGTAAATAGTAGAAAATTTTCCATTACAAAAATATATAGAATATAAATATTTTTTTTTAACTTGACTAGCTGGGCCATGCTATGCATTTATTTATTTAATTTATACATGTTTTATATTGATTCTACAGGAGTGTTATAATACTAAAATGTGACCGTCCATTACTATAAAATTTGAAAAATTAAAGTCTGATATATTGAGATTAATTGGTAATATACAGATAATGGAAATAAAATATATGAACCTTACTGAAAGTGGACATCTTATATACCTTGCAACTTCTGGTAATCATAGTAATATCAATCAGATAATTGTTGCACCTGACACCTTTTCTGGAAATCACAATTTCAATATCAGCTGAATTAGTGTATGAAATGGCTTTTCTTGAGAAACAGTGCTTTTACAAGTATTGGAACCAGATACTATATTAATTTTATTTAACCACTTTCATATAAGATTGAACTGGTATCTTGTGATTTGACTTGTGAAGTGTTAACCACTACACTATAGATCCACAGATCACAAAATATGGATATAATAAACAAGAAAACAATATATATATATAAATAATAAACAAGAAAAATGCAGTAGTAGTTCCAATAATCAAAACAAAACAAAGCTCGAAGATTTATAATTAAGTTATCAATACATTAGAAAGAATTTAGGCATTACCATCTATTATTAGAAACAATATTAAAAAAACCAAACAAGACAATCAAGAGAACAAGAAAAGTAGAAACACAAAACAAAAAAAGAAATACCAAAAAATTAAGAGCCAGATATCACAAAAATGTATAAAGAAATTGAAATATATATACAAGTCAAAACTGAGTTAAAAATGAAAAAAGATAAAATGAAAACATGGAAAACAATAGAAATATATATAAACAGATCAGTAGAGGCATATACAAATCCAAAATAGTAATTATATAAATAGTAATTAATAAAAAAAAACCAATAATAAAATAGAGTTTTTTAGCAAATATAAAAGACTTTATATTATTTATTGTTGGGTTGAAAAACAGCAAGTTAGTCACTTCACCGGTTCAATTTTCATATAACTAAGGTAAGTTGAGGTACATAAAACTAATTTAGCTAGGGCTTTTCATCATTAACAAGTTTTTCTCTTCTTTTCCAACACCAGCTCTTCTCTTGATAATTTCGGGCTATGTCCTATAGCAGCAATTATCCTTCTTTGTATAGTGTATACTTGAAAAGGTAAGTTGTTAATTACAATATTTCTTATTTGGTGGTTCAATTTTACTTATTATTCCCTTTTTTTTGATTTTTTATCTCTCTTTTTTTTCATATATTGGCATTTCTATTTATATCATTGCTACTATTAGAAAAACAATTAAGGGAAAATAGACTATTGGAGCTAAAACAAACTATAGTTAAGTTATATAAGCTTTGATGACTACATTTCCTATGCTGATTATTAATGCTACTTCACATTTCCAGGGTACGCAACATGATAATCATGGTACATAACTATACCATATGACTTTTATAAAGCTAATATCCTCCCCTACTTATCTTTGACATCTCAACAATGATTTTGTTATTCTCTCCTTTTTTTTTTCAATCTTCCCACTTTCCTCTATTCTCTATCTTTTTTCTATTTCTTTTCTTTTTTTTTTGATATCAGAGCCAAGACAACACATCAGCATTGCTGTGCTCCTTTCCTTTCCAATGCTTGACATCAAAGTTATAAGGTTAAAGTCATAAGATCCACCTTATTCTTCTTCCTGTTAGCTTTGATGTCCTTAGCTATTGTAATGCGCTATGATCAGTGATCATTACGAATGAATTCATCCTATAGTAATGATAGAAGTGTTCCACCACCCATATTACGGCTAAACAATCTAACTCCATGGCTGCATAGTTTTGTTCGTATTTCGTAAGTCCTCTACTGGCATACACGATGACATATTCTCTATTATTGTTATCTTTCTGTACTAACACAGTGCCAAGCCTGATCCTTGATGCATCGGTGTGAATATAAAAAGTGTTATCAAAGTCAGGATATCGTAGTATGGGTGCTATTGTCAAATGTTGCTTCAGTATCACGAATGATCATTCTTGCTCTTGTTTCCATTTAAACTTTATATGTTTCTTTGTCAACTGATATAATAGTTAAGCAATCATTGCAAATCCTTGAATAAACTTCTGGTAATAAGATGCTAAACCTACAAAACTTCACAATTGTTAGAAATTCTGTGGTGCTTAAAAATTTCTAATCTTTTTTACCTTAATCTTATCTGGCTTGCTTCCTTCGCTATCAACAATATGGTCCAAAAATCTGATTTCTTGCTTAAAGAAAATGCATTCATCCAGGTTTAACTTTAATCCTATATCTTGAAACACTGCAAAAACTAAACTCAAATGATTACAGTGATCTCTAAATACACTCGAAAAAATTATTACACTATCCAAATATATTGCTATAAATTTTCTAATATAATCTATTAACCATTGAAACGTCACCGAGGCATTTCATAACCCAAAGGGCATAATATTAAACTCATACATTCCTATCAGTGTTACGGAGGCTGTCTTTTTCCGATCTTCTTTCTTTACAGTAATCTGTCAATATCTGCTTATGAGATCTAGTATATTAAACCATTTTACTTTCACAAACAGCTCTAAAAGGTCATCTACTTGAGGTAGTGGATACACGTCTTTTTTGGTGATAGCATTCAATTTCTGGTAATCAATGCATAATCGCAATTTTCCTTCTTTCTTCAGTACAACTACAATTGGCGAAGACCAGGGGCTATATGATTTGCTAATTAAACCTCTTTCCCTTAATTGAATAAGCTCTTGCTTTACAAAATCACTGATACTAGATGCTATTCGATAAGTGACTTGCTTTATTGGTTTGGTATTACCAATACTAATCTCGTAGTAAACTTTATCAGTGCATTCCAATTCCTGGATCGATCTCACAAAAAAATCGTTTTTCCGTTTTAGATATGCTTTCGCTTCTTTCTGTTGTTCTTGATCCATATCTTCCTGAGTACCAATTTCACTTATTCTTTCCTTGATGGTCTCTTCTTGTTGCTTATTATCTTTTATCAATAGTTCTTCTAATTATACTAGGAATGTAGGACAGTTGGGTTCGTTTTTGGCATTCTTATCATCAGATTGCTTCTCAGTTTAAGTCACCATATTTAAATGATTCCACTTGTTCTTATTTTTCATACTTTTGGATACCGATTCTATTATTCATCTTGATCCCCTATATTTTGCTTATGCCAAGTGTCATTATCATCAATATACTTCTCGGCTTGCACCAAATATGTTGCTGGGTTTGTCTCATAACATGATGATTCTGCTAATTCTTCTTTGCTGACAATTTCTTCCATAAAGTACCCTTCAGCCTTTTTAATTCTTCATCTTCATATTGCAACATGTCCAACAATTCATTTTCCTCATCTCCACTATTTATTTTATCATTACTACCTTCATTTTTATCGTCACTTTTCTTTTGATTAATTCACTTAATATTACCTCAACAATCATACGCCTGCATGCCAAGCTATTCGGTGACATGATGACATGATCTGATCAATTACGAGAGCACATAAATTATTCGGCTCTTAATTACGAAATTCCACTCTCATCTTCGTCTCTTATTATTGAAATTTCTATAATTTGATCATCATATTGAAGCATAATTATTCTTTTGTTAAAGCAAATACTTGCTTGTATTTATTTTAACCAATCTCTTTCTAGTAATAAGGTTTCTTCATCAGAGTCAATTATTTGTAGCGAGCAGGGGATAGAAATTTTACAAATGGTAATTTCCAAATTGTTGATTTGTTCCAACACCCTCATTCTATTACTGGTGATTGAGATAATTGACATCATTGATTTCTCTTCTATCTTTAAACCCAATCAATCCATCAGCCTCTTGGACATGAAGCTTACAGCAGCTCCTGTATCAGCAATGGCTATCACAGATATTCTCTTAATTTTTATTTTACATCTCATGGTGTTCATTCTTCTTTTGACCTTGACATAATGAACTTCTTGCTCTATGTAGGGTCTTTTTAGTATAGTGGTGAGATTCTTTTGTTGTTCAAGAATACTTAACATTTGTCCAATGGTAATATTTGTGGGTGTACTAAACAAATCTTTTACAATGTTATATTTAAACGCCGACTCTATTTGTGATGGGTCCTTCTTCCGCCTAGGTCTCTTTGGTTTCGACAATAGTGATGAGGTTAACATTATAGGCGTTGCTTCTTCCATCATCTCATCTTCATCTTTCATTGGTATTGATTGTTCTATCCAAACTACAGGCTGCACTGTCAGGGCTTTTTGTACAATAAATTGTACTCATGACCCTGTTTGCATTACAGAAGGTACTTCTACTTTTGCTTTGTCTTTACCCTTTTCTTCTAGTTTTCTTCAGGATCATAACCGACCTTCCCATACTGATTTACTTCTTGATTGAGTTTTTTGGGATCAACTGGTATATAACATTTCTTCTTCTTTGACTGATATCTGGCAAACCTCTACTACTTCTTCGAAATAGGCTTCGGTTGATTGTTCAGTGCTAGATCCAGCGGTTGATGTAGCAGGTCGTCATGTCAATGGGCAGTCTCGTGTAAAGTGCCTCTTCTCTCCACATGTGTAACACTTATTTGTTCGAGGCTTTTGTTTAGCACTGTTACTCTCAGCCTGCATTGCGATAACACTGACGAGATGATGCATTTGTTGCATCAATGCTTTCACATCTTTTTCCAGCTTATTATCTATTTTTTCAAACCTTTTCTTTCTTTTTTTTATACTGCTTTCCTACTTTAATTTCTTTAACAACTTTGATGGCATTCTCCAGATCTCTTGGTCTATCAATATATAGCAAAGATGCTATTTCACCCTTGAGACCTCTGGTAAAAAGACAGATAATATGATTTTGAAGGAACATGTTGTCAGGATTCACTTTTTTCAATAACTTTCGGAATCTTGCTGCATACATTCTCACTTTCTCATCATCCTTTTGCTCTATTAACGTGAGGTCCTCATACCATTACTGCTTTAATTCTTCTGTAGCGAAGGTTTTCAGGAATAGCAGGATAAAGCTTCGATCTTGATCATCATCATTATTCCAATTCCTGATTAGTCTCTTATAATCACGGTACCAATCTGCGGCCTTATCTTCAAAATACCCTGCAACAATCTGTATCCTTCTTTGCATTACCCAATTATTTGTATTGACTGCACTTTTATACTTTTCGAGCCATTCGAATGGATCTTCTTTCTCTTCTCTATGGAACTTTAGTACCTTTACCAAGTTACTTTCACTCACTTCCTTCTAGTTAACCTTCTTAAATACTCATGCGATTTCTTTCCAGAATCTAGGCCTAAATGTGGCATTCTCTCTTAAGAAACTTTCCCTGGTACTATTCATTAGTTTTATTTCATGGAATTCATTAGGTCCGGTTTCCTCTAACCTTCTTTTTTCCATTGCTGTAATTCTGTTTATCCTATTTTCTATCTTTTTTTTTTTTTGAAAAGAGCAAATGGCTATCACGCTTTATTATATTTATTATACTTTCACTTACTTACAGGGTAA